ATGATCTTCTCCCCTTGGAAAAGGAGTCCGTTGACCACGGAAAGCTGATCTCTAAGAACGAAATATGACCTGAGTTCTGGAGATAGCTTGCCTTCCTTTGGCCATGATGATGAAGTATATTTCATGACTTCACGCAACGCAGGGTCTCGTGAAGTTGCCTCCTGGAAATCCTTCTCTGTGAGGGAAGCGCAGACGATGGAAACAATTTCTTCTCTAAAAGTCGTACCATCTTCAGTATCGTGAACTGGAAGGCGAGAAAGGGCATCAGCAACGACATTGTCGGTTCCTTTGCGGTACTCCATTACAAAGTTGTAATTGAAGAGCCTGGCAACCCAGCGGCTGATGCGCAATGGGTGAACGCCAGCTCCTTGCGTAGACATCAGGGTGACCAATGCTTGGTGGTCGGTCCGGATGGTAAACTGTCGACCCCAGAGGTAGATGTGCCATTTCTCGCAGGCCCAGAGGATTGCGAGAGCATCTTTCTCCCCAGTTGAGTATTTTCGCTCTGCTTCCGTGAGAGAACGGGAGGCGAAAGCAACAGTCCTCAGCTGGGATCCATGCTGTTGCTGTAGAACAGCTCCCAGCCCGTAGTTTGAGGCGTCCGTGGACACAACAACTGGGAGGCAAGGATCGAACATAGTCAAAATGGGTGCCTGCTGAATGCAGGCCTTGATCTGCTGGAAACTGGTGTCGGCTTCGGACAACCAGACGAAAGTCACACCCTTGCGTAGAAGACGACGAAGGGGCTCCACAATGGTGGCACAGTGCTGGATAAACTTACTGTAATATTCGACAAGGCCCAAGAATGCCTTCAACTGAGAAGGGTCACATGGCGCCAGAAAATTCAGAACGACGTCTATCTTTGACGGAAGGGGCGCTAAGCCTCCCGCCGACAGACGATGTCCGAGAAAAGTAAGCTCTTGGACACTAAAAACGGCCTTCTTATTGAGTTTCATCCCAGCTTGGGAAATTTTCTGGAGCACAGTATGCAGATTTTCATCGTGTTCTTGCTGAGACGAACCGTGCACAATGACGTCGTCCAAGTAAAACTGTACGCCCTTGCAGTTTTTAAGGATATTAGACATGATCTTCTGGAACGCTGCAGGCGCGGAAGCCAGGCCAAAACAAACTCGTGTGAAACGAAAAAGGCCTTCATGAGTGATGAACGCTGTAAGGTCACGGCTTTTAGGATCAAGCCGGACCTGATAGTATGCTGATGCGAGATCCAACTTGGAAAAATGGGATGCTCCACTTAAGGAGTTCAACAGCTCGTCAATGTGTGGGAGCGGAAAAGAGTCGACAACGATGGCCTTATTCGGCGCTCGGAGATCCACACACATACGGATGCCGCCTTCTTTCTTCTTAACAACCACGATGGGCGAAACCCACTCCGAAGCACTCACGCGCTCGATAACTCCCTGCTGCTCGAGCTTCAGGATCTCCGCCGTTACTACGTCACGCAGGGTGATCGGCAGTCGACGGAGCTTGGCTTGAACTGGCGGCACATTTCGACGGACGGTGATCGTATGGGTTTGGTTTTTTACCAGACCTAGACCAGGTGAAAAGAGATCTTCGAAATGTTCGAAGCCAGCAGGAAGCTTGGAAACGTCCCTCGACGTAGCTGTGCTTGGTGTCCTCGGTGGAGATACACCTGGCACAGATGGCTCATGTGGGATACTTGAAAAACGATTTAGAGGACTGGGCATGTTCAATGGATCTGAAGATACTTTCGAAGGTCTCTGAGGCTCGTCTGAAGAACCTGACGGACTGGGACTCGTTGGCTGTGAAACACCAGCCGGTGTCACATGTCCCGGGATGGTTGAACGGGAGCCACCTGTATGAACGATACGACACGTCAGAGACGCGCCCAAAAGGATAAGTTTCAGATCGCGCACGGCATCGGTGCCAAGGAGCGATCGGCCGTCACGAACAACATAAAAAAGAATAGTCGCCGACCGATCCTGAAATTTGACAAGTCCGTAAAAACAACCCAGAACGGGGATCTGCCCTCGCAGATAATGGACGAGGGTCCGTGACGGTTTTCTTAACTGTAGTTCTTTAGAGGTCGTGAGCCATGAAAACGTCGCTTCAGAGAGAATTGAGACTTCGGACCCAGTGTCAATCGGAAGGAACATGGGAAAATTGTTCACCTCCACGTCGACTACGAAGTTGAGGCTACGGTGACGGTCATGCTGCGAAGGACTTCTGGCCGGTCTGACGGTGTAGACAGTGGACAGGATCTCCTCGTCCTCGTCCTCCTCGGGGAAGGTCACGATGCCATGGATGGGGGCCCGCGCTCGGTTGCCTCCGTTTGGCGGAAGTCGGCGACCGGATCCTCGGCCGCGCCCAGCGGGAAAGGCCAGCTGGCGCCGATCGCAGGCGGATGGAGGTGGACGACTCCGACACACGTTGGCGAAGTGTCCGGCTTTGCCACATGAAAAACACGTAGCCCCCGACGCGGGGCATCGGTCTCGAGGGTGGGGTTGACGGCCACAAAAGTCGCATAATGGTGCACCGTAACGGAAAGCACGCGCTCCCGGAGGGGCGTCACGTGCTGGTCGTCGCTTGCAAACACAAGCCGATAGGCGCGGTTGGTGGCGCGGAGATAATTTGAAACCTTCAGCTCGGGATGAGGAGGCAACGAATTGCTGGCCCTCGCCGTCTTGGACACGGCCTGATGACGGTGACGGTCGAGCGGCGTTGTCTTGCGTCCGCGGCGCGAAGACTCGCTCAACACAAGACTGTACTTGCGAGTTTAAATTTGTTGATAGCTGGCGGTACTGATCGCAATCGCGAGAGGACTGCTCGAACTGCTGAGCAAGGAGTACAGCATGTTCGAGGCTTGGTGGCTGAGCCCCCGCAGCCTCTCGGATTAAGCGATCTTGTACCTCTGATGATCGCAGTCCAGCCAGAAAAATCTCGGCGATGCGATCTTCTAAAGTCGCTCCAAAATTGCAAAAGGAGCCCAGGTGACGCAAAGCACCAAGGAATTCCAATACGCTTTCTCCTGGGGCCTGAACCCGAGTTAAGAATTTCTTGCGTTCGAGAACTACGTTGGCAGTAAAGCCGAAGTGTCGATCTAATGACTGGAGCAGTACGTCGAATTCAGTAAGCTCGGCGCTAACGGCAGCTCCTGCTAGGTTGAAGGTTGACACGATCCGTTGACCCTCCTGGCCAAGCATTCCAATTAGCAGGGCCCGTTTCCGTCTCGGGGTGAATGCGTCGGCATCGATAGCATCTAAGTGGTTTAAAAAAATTAATTTCCACATCGTCCAGGGTAGCGCGGGGGCACCCGGCATTGGCATGAATGGCGGAGGAGCTGTGCTCGCGAACGCCGACATCTTGAAATCTGTCGAGGTAGCTCGGTCTCAGTTATCCCATCCTCGTCGCCAGAATGTAGTGTTTGAGGGGCTATACTGCATTAGGATATATGCGCAGGAAGGCTTACGGTACGACGACGATGGCGTGGAGGGCAGCGGCGGACCGTGGCCAAGCGGACACACCGAAGGAAAAAGGGCACGTCCAGCCCCGACGAACGTTGCTACACTTCTTACTTTATTCACGCGCACAAGGGCGATTAAAGGAAAAGGGGCACCCTGGTGGCGATTCATAAACTCAATTACAACAGCAGCGTTATCTAAAAATAGTTTATCTGAGAAAGATCTAATAAAACTCAGTCACAGTCGACGACAGTCACATCTTGACGATTGGATGGAATCCGAGATGACTTCGTTTTGGGGCACTTTTTAGGGAGAGCTTACTCTTTTCACAACAGCACCAAGGCAAAGGAACGAACGCAACTGACCCGTTTCCCACCCCAATCCGGACAACTATTTTTGGAGACGACCCTGCGCAGATTATCTCAGGGAGGGGGGAGAACAATTATTTTTCGCAAAATCGCGTCGAGGGCCGTTCGACGTCCTCCCTCTCCTTCGTTTCCCATGAATGTTGAGCAGAAAAGCTTGAATGTCGGGCACTTACCAGCCCTATCTCTCACAGTGTAAGATAACACCAAAAAGGGTACGCAGCACGCATAAAAAAAATGGAGTGGAAACTTTCAAGACGGGCAAGGAAGCGTCGAATGCAAAACGACAAAACAGGTAGAGAATCGCGCTGTGTGGGTTTTCACAGTCCAAGAGAGTGGCAGAAAATTTCTAGCTGATAAAGGGCGCGAGAGTCGCAGCAGCCGCATCAGCAACATGGAGGCGGCCTAGTAGCGTCTTTTGGAAAGGTGTATAGGCACTTATGGGGGGGGGGGGGGAGGGGCCAGTAGCGTGGGCTGCGTCTGGACTCTGACAGAGTATTTATGCTCGTTGAGGTTCTTATTTCAAGATGACCGACAAGAGCCCAACTACCCAGAACACGATTTGCAGCTCGAAAGTACTATTCTTTCCTCCCGATAACCGCCGGTTGAGAAACGGCTGGTTTCAGGGTGCTCACTCTCTTTTTTATGGTCATGTGCCATTCAAACTGGTGCATACCAAATATAATCAAAATCATGGGTAAGGCATACATTCAGTATTAAAAATAGAAAAGAATATGAACCCCGTTTTTCGTGGCTTCCAAGGAGCTGCAAATATATTGATCGAAAATATTGTTGCACGGAGAACAGCCACGGAGACGACTGTAACGTCACTTCTGCAAAAATGGAGAAAAAAAAAAAGGATGTTGTTTCGTGCACCAGTTTAACTGGTTGAACCTTTAGCGTAGATGTTGGTTAAAAACTAGGGTTGTGCAAATAGTGGTTCGAATCAAATAGCGCACCGTCATCCCTAGCTTCTGCACTGCTGAAAAAACTGGCCGTCTTATATTTCCCTTGCATTGTCAAGGATATATGAATGACGCAGTGCTATTCGATTCGAACCACTATTCGCACAGGCCTATTAAAAACACTTTAATATTTTTATTTTAACTTCTAAATATAATTCAGCTAATTTTTATTGTAATAGAATTTGTAACATGTGGTAAGCATGTTTTGTACATTTTGCAACACTTTACCAGCCACATACAGCCATTTATATGTTTCAGCGGTTCCAAACAAGCGTTTAAAGGTTCTGGTGGCAATCTACCAGTGATCTTGGCTCTGAAAGTTTTGTGTCCTGTTTTCGGGTGGAACAGCTGGCCCCCAAATGTCCTTCAAGGTGAACAGAAAAGTTGCCTGTACAAATGTTTAGTGTTTTCAAACCTTGAGAAAAGCTCTTCTTGATAGTGTATTTGCTCTGTCAGCGTGCCTTCAAGAAATGAGTGCAGCAGCGTTGACGACGCAACGCACGCAACAAACTCCTCTGGCTCTCCTTGGTCGAATTTCGATCAAATGCGCTTTCGAGGTTGTTTATGCCTCGCGCTCTGTCTACCTCCTGACCTGCGTTCAGTAACAACAAAAAAGACAACCGGTGAGTGATCTCTAAAAACGCACAGGGACAAAAGCGTCAAAAGGGGGGGAAGAAAATAAAGGGAGGCATCGGCTCTAATCCAGGCTAAATAAAATTGGGAGTGCAGGGGTACAGTGGATGAGGGAGATAAGCAAAGAATGTAGGAATGCGGCAGAATTGTTTTGGGGGCACATTAAAGTGCAGAAGAGTGTATTGATGATTAGAAACTGAGTGAAATGAGACTAATAGCCATCCAATAACAGTAACATCAGATTTTCTACTGATTAGCTATGCAGCTTGTAATGCGGAGATTGGAGCAATGGGCAGAGGCAGCGCAAATTCTGGGCGAGCTTCAAAATGGATTTCGAAAAGATAGAGACTAAAAGATAACCTATTTGTATCACTCAATCTATAGGGGTAGCAGTGAAGAGCCAAAGCCCCTTATAGTTCTTATTTGGACACTGATAGAGCGTACAATAATGTAAGCCAGGAAAAACGTGGCCAGTTAAAGGGGTATGATAACTTGCATGCAAATCTGACTGGGTTTCTTCAGCAAGTGTACTCGGACAATAAGAACCAGCAGCAATAATGAACAGACTCGGGCAGGGCTGTCCGCTGCCACCCCTGCTCTTTGTGATGTACCTAAGTGGAATGCAAAAAAATTTGAGCAATTTAGGTTTTGATTGGAGTTATGTGGAGTTATATTCCAGGAGTAATGTATGCAGACGACATAGTACTTGTGGCAGATAACTGCAATACATTACAGGAACTAACTGGAATACATGGAGAGGAGGGGGCAGCTTGGGCCAGAGTTTGAGTAGTGACAAGTTTGGAAGTAGTAGTAAAGTAGGGATTTGAGCTGGTTGGTATTTCAACGTGATAAAGCAGTGCACAGAACACGGGGGAAGAGAAAAGGATGGGTAGAACGAAAAAGCGCCGACTCAACTCATTTATTATGAAAGAGAAAAAAAAGAAGCCAGAAAAATAAACCCCAGGTTAGAGTTAATAAGGAAAGGAAAAACAAAGAGAGGAAAATATAAACAGACTGGATTAATTTGAGGTAACGAGGAAAAGGAAGAAGAAACCGTAAAGCACACCCGTGAAACAAAAAGGAAAAAAAAAATGGGACGAAGAAAAAGGCAGAATACGGCACTTTTTTTACTTACGGCCAGCCAGATTCTCTCAAGGATTGCTCACGCATTGCTGTTTTTTTAATTTGATAGGCCTGGAGTATCTTGGGTAGTCCAATCTTGAAGTCCCCCGAGTAGAGTTGTGTCACTAAACGTCGGTGAGCATTGTCAGCAGAGACAGTGTGGTGCCCTCCCACCGTGGCGTGGAGGGAAGAAAAATGCTCCCCAAGCCGGTCCTGGGGCATCTTTCAGTCTGTCGTATCTGGCGCCCACCACACGTTGGGCAGGAAACAAAACTTGTTCTTGCGGCATGCGGTTCGTGAACAATTCTCAATCACGGAGCCCACCTTTGCGCAGATCTTGGCTAACCTTTGTTGGCTAAGATCGGTTGGGGGTTGGCACTCTTTCGTTCTGCCTGTCCTTTTCTCTTCCTCCGTGTTCTGTGCGCTGCTTTATTAGGTTACAAGCCTGGAATAATAGATGACAAAAAGAAGGAACCCCTGAAAATACGAGATAGTGAAATGGATCATGTGGAAAAATACAAATATTGGGGAGTATTGCTCAAGATGGAAGAAAATACCTAGAAGGAGGAAAGTAAATATTATCAGAAATGGGAAAAGAAATTCTGGTATTTATTATGGAATTGTAATAAATACGGAGTGGTCAGGGCTATAAAGGAGTAATGGTGCCAAGACTGTCTTATGGCAATGGGGTACTGAGTGGGAGGCTTAATGGGGATATTGTAAATTGGACAAAGGAGAGTGGTTAGCACTGGGAGCGCATGGGAACGATGAGAGAGTGCAGGGGGACATGGACTGGCCATCCTTGAGAGCACAGAGGCAATCAGTAAATTGTAATTTGAAGAAAGGTTAACTGAAATGGATGATGCCCGGTGGGCACGGAAACTGATAGAGCAGGGGTTCTCAAACTTTTTGGTCTCACGGAACCCCAGGAAGCCTCAAGGACTGCCGCGGAAACCTCCCCCCCCCCTCCATATTTGCCGACCGAGAAGCAACAGATGCACAATTGTAGGCAATTTTGCTTGTGTTGCTTCCCATATATCCCCACCATATCAATCGCGATGTCAGTACAAAGTGAGATGAAGGCGCTTTACATGGTCCTGCCGCGCAGCCTGCGGCAAGGGGGAGGGTTGCAATTTGGGTGTTTGCGGAACCCATGATACCAGCTCGTGGAACCCGTGTTCCCCGGAACCCAGTTTGAGAACCCCTGTGATAGAGTATTTATACGTGAAAAGCTTCAACGCAAAATGGACAAACTGAACCCGAAAGCTGACATTTAAATACCTGCACACTAGTGATACAGGTAGTGAGCAGACCAGTTCATTCAAAAAGGAAGTGAAAGAGGCAGAAAAGAAAATGCTGGAGGGGAGAATGCGAGAAAAATCAGCTTTAAGATTGTATAGATCAAGGACACAAGAAAGGAAAAGGTGTTTGATAATTCACGAGCAAGATTTTTGCAGTTTGAAGTGAGAACGGGAGTGTTAAGGACAATGACGTATAAGGCTAAATTTCAAAAGTACAGCCGAATCAAATGTCAAAGGTTGCCATATTGAGAACTCGCAGAAGGCAAGGGTAGGATGGAGTCCTTGTTTATGCCACTTCCGGGTTCTCATTCTTATTTCGAAAGACATTAGTAAGAATTTCAAAATGTGTAATAAACGTCAGTAAAAAATGTTGCAGTATGGTAACTTCAATACCTCTAAATATGCATCACGTACAGTCTCCACCAATATGAAAGACCCACTCGGAGTGTTTGATGAAAACAGAGGCTGGTGTGTGGCACGGTGCACTGAGCAGAGCAAAACTCGATTTATATGGTGAAATTTTTGAATAGGTTCACTGACAAAGTGCCTTCCCTTTCCTCAGAGCGACGTGACATTGCCTCAAGTACAATGTGACATCGTCTTAGCCACGCATTTCGAGTGTTTTTTTTAATAGTGATGGGGACTGTATGCCACTGGAAAAGCCCAAGCAAGGAGGAACCTCGTGGAGGGGTATTTTGAAAGGCGCACTAAAGTCCTATTTTTTTTCGGTCACGTGAGACTTCCCAAACAACTCGGACAACTAAAAAAAAAAAGTATTTCGTAACTGTTGGTGGGCCTTTAATTTGCCAAGTCTGGTTGTCCCCGCAGGAACGACAAGATGAACAATTTCTGGAGAGGCCGGGGACGCTGGGCGTCTCGCCGGCGCGGACGTTACATCGTTCCAGCTCCCTCAAGTCCGGACTCAACGCGTTTGTCCCCCGACGCCACGTCTGGGGTCCCAGATCCCTCGCACCCGAGCTGGGGTCTCTACTTCACCGATGGGAACTGTCCGCCGGCCGGCGCAGAGCGGCGCGTGACGCTCCTAGAAAACTACTTTGCTGCGAAGCTGTCCCGATTCCTGGATTCCAACGGAGCTCCGGACCGGTCGAAAACGTCGTACGAAGTGGACGTCGTGGAGCTGGCAGACGACGAGAGTGTCCGAGAGGCCTGGCCCGACTTGAAGGAATCCCTGAGGATGGGTCCCCACGATACATTGAGGATCATGGGTGAGAGGGTCTCTGATTAGCGTGCTTACCTCGTTTGTGGTCCCTCGATTCCCGCCCGGTGAGGTCCCACTTGCGTCGCGCTCTAGCCCGCCGCGGCGGTGGCACAGGAATGAATGTGGCAGGCCTTGAGGAGCTTGACAGTTGGGACGGTGCGAGGACATTGGTTTGTCTTTTGTACCGGGACTTGCAGCAACGTCCGCTGGGATGGCCAACGGCGTGACTTTCGTAGCATCTTTTGTTGCCTCCACTTTGCATGCCCAACACGCCGCTTGAAGGGCGCCGGAGCGAGAATGCTGTGGCGCGTTCTGAGCGGCTCAAATGCCGCCTCGCACATCCCTGCTGTATGAAAGCAGTTTGGCAAGGGCGGCTGGAAACTCGGGGTCTTTAGTGTCGCAGTAGTGATTGTCCACCGAGTACAAGCAGCTGCACAGGCACCTTCTTGTTGATCTACTAAAGCTAAAGTTGTTGTAATGTGCGATCGTTCGTTAGAAATGCCCGTTATGTCGAGCAAATACTGTGCGGGGGACAGTATTTGCTACCAACAAAATTATTTACTATAACTAAGTGCTTTAACAGGGTGTCTACCAACTGGGAAAACCGGGCATTTTCAGGGATTTTGAATAGTTCGGAAAATCTCAGGGAAAACTCGGGGAATTTGTGCTTCTCCCAGGGAATTTTTTTTTCTTTTTCTTTTTTTATTTTTAAAAGTGTTACAGATGGACTCTCACAGTCCAAAATTCTTCAGATATCAATGGAATGGGCCAAACGTCCAGTCGAGCCCAGTTATATCACACTCATGTATTTCGAATTATTCTTTTTAGGAAACAGTCCAAACATCCCCTTGAAAATCACATTGTTTTTCTGTATCGGACACCCATAACTCCCATGGCGGGGACACTCGATTTAGCGAACGAAGACGAAGCACAGCCAAGCACGGCCGTCCTTCGCCTCTCCTGGGGTGGGCTTGCGCCGGCGGGGAGCACATAGCTCGGGTTGCGGGGCTGGCAGGCCGCCAAGCCAGCATACGCGCACGAGGGGATAGGCAGCGAAAAAGCAATTGTATAAAAAATAAAAGAAACGCCCAATAAAAGCAAAAAAGTGGAGGATGGCAAAAGCAAGGTGAAGGGCACTCGCGCGCATAGGGGGGGCAGGGAGTGCCCGCTGTTAGAACGGTCGCTTGCGCTCTTTTCCCCAAACACCGCTGTCGCTGCGCGACTCCTTAGCCCCAAAATAAAGTGAGCAAAAAAAAAAAAGATTTCGTCAAGTGGAGTGTGTTGACAACAAGGGTTGAGCAATCACTCTTTGAACGCCTAATCTTTGTTCACCTTTTTCCCTTTTCTTTCCCCGTTATTGCTCCCGTTTTTCTTTTAGAGCGCAGCTCTTAGGCGCCCGTTCCCGGCTTGAGCGGTGTCGCCGTCGGCGTAACCAGGAGGTCACGTGACCCCCCCCCCCCCCCCCTTGAGGTCACATGACCTCACGGGGCGGGGGGGGGGGGGGGGGGTCACGTGAATTTCAGTTTACCTTTTTTTTATATTTTATTCGCTATGAATTTTACTAACCACTCCTTTCTGTTTTCTTTTTGAATCTAATAAAAGTTACTCGTTACCATTAAAACTGTATTATGTCGTTTTTTTAATTTTATAACATGCTTTTTAGAGCGTGACAGCATCTGGCAACATAGTGTCAGCCCATCTTGACCTAAAACAAAGTTCTGTGTCACTCAGGGAATTTCACAAAAGTACTCAGGGAAAACCTGAAAAACTTGGGGACTTTGAAAATGTCAACTTGTAGACACCCTGTTTAAATACGTCAGTATCTCACATGTCTACCAACTCTACAAGCTTATCCCGACTTCACTTTACCGTAAAAATAAGTTGTGGTAAACACACACTACAGCGCACCACTGCAAAAATACGCTCTCACCGTACGCTCACTCCTTACACACGAAGGAAAAGGAAGGAAATCAAACAAACCGCGCTGTTCGTTTGATTTCTTTTCTTTTTTACGTGTAAGGAGTGAGCGTACTTTTGCAGTAGTGGGCTATAGTGTAGGCTAATATGAGCAACCAACTCGCCCAAGCTGCTACAAGTTATGGTGAGATTTAAGGAAAATAAAATGAGCTTTCAACATCCCGAGGGATCCAAAAGTGGCAAGCTCTCACGCAGGTATGCAACGCAGCTTTGTTTGAGAGCTGCATGTGCATTGTTCACTTCTTTCTTGCTAAGTCTCGGCGGTTTGAAATATTGAGAGTTCCCAAGTGTAGCGCAGTTTCTTCAAAGTGTGCCGCAGAGGGGTCCTACCACGACTCACTCGGAGCATCTGATTGGTCAGGTGTGGCACTGCACCAAGTGCTGACGAAGCTGTACCGGCAACGCAACCAAGACCCTGAGGACCAGCCCCTCCCCAAACTTCAGATCCGCGTCGCCGGGTTCGGGCCCCCGACACCGCTCCGAGAGATCCGCGGCATGACCCGTGGACAGATGGTGGCAGTGCGCGGCACCGTGGTTCGTGCAACGGAGACCAAGCCGCAGTACGAGGCGCTCGCCTTCTGCTGTCTGACTTGTGGGCGGTGCCAAAGAGTCGAGCAGCCCGGGGGATACTTCCTCCCTCCAACCAGCTGTCCCTCCAGGGGCTGTCGCTCGAGGTCCTTCCGCCAGGACGCCGCATCTCCGCTCACCCGGGTCGTCGACTGGCAGTCCCTGAGGTTGCAGGTTTGTCTTCCCTCTTGAGGACACCATCTTTGACAACAGGATGACTGGCAGATAAGCTCCATGTTTGTGGTATGCAGGGGGTTGAATTTTTTTTTTTTTTTAATTCACGAGGGGTACACTAATGAGGTCTGTGCAGACAAGTTATATATCCGGGGGGACATAATATAGGAGGCAAATCCTCCCGGTAAGTCGGACAGTGACTCTGTTCATTAAGCTTTTTTAATTTGTGAAAATGTTTTTATTTTGCTAATTAAAAAGTTTCTAATTCAAACATTGTTTATTTAATAAACATAATGCTTCAATCACAAACTTGCTGAGCATCATGAAATACTACTAAATCAATTAAATTAAAAAAAGAAAAAAAAAATTATAAAGTTGTTTAGCAGATTTTAGTTGATTATATGACTTACGGTGAGGATTAAGCCCCTATATTATGTCCCCTGGACACATAACTCGCCTGCTCAGACTGCATTAGTGTAGCTTTAACTGATTTTTTAAAATAAATCTGTTGCAATCAAAATCAAACACCCCGTATATTGATAAACCCCAAAGAGTAACCTTCGAGCCGGCTTTATCCAAATTGACCGAAATCAAAAACCTCCGAATCGGAGCTGTCCTTGAGTGAGAAAAAGCCAAGCTTCACGGATATCTACAGTTCCTAATCAACAGGAACATGACCCACACTGAACTATTCGCGAGGCTGCCTTTATCTTCCCGAACCACTTGTCTCGTTTCTTTTATTGTCTGAGTATTCAGGTCACGCGTGCCTTTCCTGGAGATTTCTTCAACATAATCTTCGTTGAACACCCATTTAAACCCCGAACAAACACCCACCCGATTCATGCCATGAAGAGCCGTGGACAAACTTGGGATGCAGTCCAGGATGCCACAAGGTATCTGGACGTCACCAGATGGTCCTGTGGATGTTCATACTGGGCAATTAGTGCCAACTGAGTCGCAATCAGATGACTCAGCTTTATTCGTGGGTACCTGGATGACCCGTCTCAATCAAGGCCCATCCGTGAATCTTGAAGGAATCATGAATGTGGCGGATTTGAGCTCTATTCATGGCACAAACAGACATGAATAGACTCACGAACCTTGGATGTTCATAGGTCCAGTCATGGATGCCATAGAGAATGTAGATGTCATAGACTACAGATGTCCATAGGCCATCTGTGCTCTCTGGGTTAACATGGCAGAGAGTTGGGCGAATTGGTTAAGCATCTTAATAGGTGGGAACAGCGCAGGAAAAACCGACGAAGGACGAGTAGAAGAAGTGCACAAACACAGCGCTGACTAACAACTGAATGTTTATTTTCAAGCGAACCAGAAAGTAAACACTGGGTGTGGTGAGGAAAACCTGTGGCAGACGTGTGTGAAAGTGATATGGCGTGGTAGTGTCTTGTTTTATCGGGTTCCCTCCTTTTTTTGGCTTCTGTGTTTTTTTCCTCTCCACACCCAGTGTTTACTTTCTGGTTCGCTTGAAAATAAACATTCAGTTAGTCAGCGCTGTGTTTGTGCACTTCTTCTACTCGTCCTTCGTCGGTTTTTCCTGCGCTGTTCCCACCTATTAAGACTCTCTGGGTTACAATGGGACATTTCAGCTCAGTTTGTGCCGTGAACAATCGTGCATGTTTTTTGATCGATTTATGGATGTCCGTAGAAGCCATGAGCGTCACAGATGGTCCCGTGGATATCCATGTAGGGCGATCCGTGCCATTGGGGTTGCAATCGGGCGACTCAACTTTATCCATACTGTAGGTACTTGGACCCCCTTTTTTTTTTTCTAGGAGCTCGAGGAGTTTCAAGGCGGGGGCCGCGTGCCCCGAATCCTGGACTGCGAGTTGACTGACGACCTGGTCGGCTCGGCCGTTCCTGGCGACGTGGTCACGGTCGTGGGAACCGTGGAGCTGGCTCGCTCCGAGCCCGGTTCTGGTTTTGGTTCTGCGGTGGGCGGTCCGGTGGACTGCTACCTCTTGGCCAATCACGTGACGGGCGAGCAGAAGAACGCGGCCTCGGTGTCGCCACTGGGGCCCGACCTCGGGAGGGGCGACTACTATGCCATCGAGGCCATCCACGACGAGCCGCAGCTGTTTCGTCTGCTGGTCAACTCGCTTTGTCCCGCCATCTATGGCCACGAGGTGAGAAGACTGGCGCGGGCAATAACCTAATTGCATCAATTGGTATTGAAATTTCCAGTGGTCCTCGCTAAAGACTCGTTATCCTGCGTTTACTTTGAGATTGACGGGGTCATATAAACATGGCTGCGTGCGTGGCTGAGTGGGCAACACAGGCGGCTCCCATGCAAACAAATGAGGTTCAAATCCGACCGTGCATTTTCCAATTTACCTTTCGTTGCCCCGCTGGAAAGTTCCAGTGCATTCTCATTGTGATTGTATCATCTGGGTAGGAGCCTTCAGGAATGCAGGCTGTGTATAAGAACAGCCATGGAGTGAAGTACCAAGTCAGTCTTGCGCTACCGCTCGGTCCCACTGCCTCGCCGACGTCTATGCCTGCGACGGCCATTATTGTATGTGTTGTTTTGGCCCGAGTCTGCTGCATTAAAATATTTATTTTAAGTTCTACATTCGCCTATCATATTTCATCCGTGGCAATATTTTGGTGTTAGGGGGCTATCTCTCATTTACCACATCTCCGCTTCACCTTTTGATAGGCTGCAGCAGATGAGCCACGAGAGCCAACGAAGTGCTTCAACTTATCGTGTAACTTCCGATGCCGTAGCCCCGAAAGATAAGCTGCCCTCTATTTTCGGCCGGATGTTTAAAACAGCAAGTGATTGTAGCGTCCGGATCAATGATATCCCCTCTGTGAATGTGGCTAATTAGCTATGGTGGCATATAAGCGAACATTGCTGGCTGGCAAGTCATCTTCGCTCTATTGCACCTGGCCGAGATAACAAGTTTGGCAGAAACACGGAACCTGGAAATAGCATTTCTTTTTTTACTTTTCTCGATTGCACGGCGAAAGTCTCCTTATTCTAAGTCGCTCTCGATTTTAGGTGGGTCTCGGGATATCATGACAGTATGTGCTAGAGTACTGCACAAGGACGGGCCAACCCAAAAGCCGGTAGCGCAGATTATTTCGGGGCACGGGCCGGGCCCAGGTTGGGTAACACGGATTGTTTCTGGGCCCAAGGGGGCTCGGGCAACAAGGTAGCACAATTTTTAAAACATTGAGAAGGAAATGCAAGCGCATTGATCGTTTAGATTTGGAAAAAAAAAACGAAAGAGCCAAAGTGCGCGTGACTTGCTACAACGCCACTAAAAAAATCTTACAAATAAAGAAAGCTGTCTTGGACTAATAAAGCCCACAAGGAGGTGCGAAGAAGAATCCCGGGGATTGCATGGGCATAGTGGAACAGCTGCCAGCTGGCTGCCAAAGATAAGCTGTCTTTTGTATTGGTGTAAGCTTTAAAGGTTCACCATGTGACTGCGATATGACGGTGTCTTTCGGAGAAATTAGGCTAAATGAATCGAATGCACCAACACCTTTCTAAGGCAGCTTTGAATTGAAGATGCCTTGGCCTTTCACCGGGCCTGATGAAGTGGGCATCCCGTCGGGTAAGACTAAGAGCCAGCGGGCCGAGCCTAAAAAAGTCTGCCCGCACAGTGCTCTAGTATTTGCCCCACGTGTCGTTGCCTCCCAAACGTCGGGTGACAATAACGCACCATGGATAGCCTCTGGTGGCTCGTAGCCCCTGCTGAGGTCTATCGTAAGGGGAAACCGAGGAACCTACATGGTTTGCAGTATTTTTGCCTTCATCTGTCATGACTTACTCAGAGGCCATTTTTTTAAACCGCTTTCCAATAAGGCCTTTTTTTATATATTTGAAAACTTAGAGTGCCTAGCATTACAGGCCTATATAGTAGAAACTCTTCCTGTTCAAGGTTTAGTTATTGGAGAAAACATGTTCACTACATCGGTACCTCAGATAGCTGCATAAGTATTACGAGCATAACTTTGATTCAATATGTCTACTATATCTTTACTTTAACGGCGCTTACTTTACACAGGTTCTACTGTACCATTATTTTTCCCTGCAGTAAAGTTGTGGCAGGCTTACCTTTCCATAGTACTTGCATTTGAGAGGGGAACGTAGCAATGCAGTATAAAACATTTTGTAAAATTTAATTCTAGGAAGTTCCTACCCGATTTATTTCTTCACTCATTTAATCGTTACAGGAATGCTCGACGAACAAAGGAAACCTCGCTTCAATTGGAAGCCGATAATTTGGTCCCAGTCTTTTCAAAGTTAATCTCGAGGCACGATAAAAGCGAGAAAAGCGCTCGAGTCGGACGCTTTTTCTCGCCAAACTTCAAGGCAGGTCCAGTGACTGCCTCTGTCCCTCGGGCGGCTCCAAGGGTGGCTGGGATGAGAATCCAACTGGGATGAGCTGCCATAGTCCGCGTCATTTCCGGTTCCCCAATGACCACGTCGTACTTGCGTCGTCACGCCTGCCGTGATGCTGGGGGTGAAAGCAGAAGGACGCCCGCTCCGCTGCAGGCCACGGAATTTGCATTCGCTCCTCCTTTTTGCCGCACCTCGTAGGACCAAGCGGCAGGGCCCACCGGCTCGTGTCCTTCGCCGCTTTGGGGCCATTTCGGGGCAACAGGTGCACCGACTGAAGTTGCAGGTACGGACCGACGGGTCTCGCCTCCCAGGTGGTGAAGGCGGGCCTGCTGCTGGCGCTCTTCGGCGGCGTCCGTCGCTACTCGGACGACCCGGACCACGTGCCGGTTCGTGGAGATCCGCATGTCCTGGTGGTCGGAGATCCGGGACTGGGCAAGAGCCAGCTGTTGCAGGCGTGCGCCAGGGTCGCTCCGAGAGGAGTCTACGTTTGCGGAAACACGGCCACCGTCGCGGGCCTCACGGTGTCTGTTGCTCGGGGCTCTGCGGGCGAGGCGTCCTTGGAGGCCGGAGCGCTCGTCCTGGCGGACCGAGGTTCGTTCGTCCTTGTGGGACTTTGTCGCAAACTGCGCGTCCCGAATGACTCCGTTGAAGGCAAGGAAGACATTTAAATGATGGCTCGAACAAGGAACAGGCGGCACGCTGCATTCGGACAACGCTAGAAAAAAAAATGTTCTTTTTTCCCCGTGCAGCGTTTTGGGTGACCAATGTCCCAGCACTGCTGTGTCACGCTCCTGGCGGCATGGTCTTTTTGGCCTTCTCGTTGGCATCTTCACTCTTTGTCGTCGTAAAACAACATATAAACAACGGCTCTCATTTTTGGTTTCTTTTTCTTCTGAGGCCAATTGTTTAGCAACTACAAAATAAACAAAGAGTAGCTTCTTGCATAGCCGGCTAGAGGTGCACACTTCCGCATCGACTCGCAGAATGTAAGTCGTGCTGCACATAAATGGGAAGTGTATTTATTTGTCTCATTACGGAGCTTGTCCGCACGTTGCTGTCAGTTATTTAGGTACCATTCTGCCATTAATGCTGCCACCGTAAATGTTAAAGTTAATTTTGCGTCACCACAGGCAGAAAGAGGTGCGGCTCATTTCATTGTCATTTCATTACGCTGAACCGTTTTTCAGTGGACCAGTAGCCACCATGTGAAAGTTTGGGTTCGGTTTCAATATTAATGTTTGGTTTTGGGTTCAATATGAAATGTTTGAATGAAAATTAACTGTTGGGCTAGATGACTATTCATTAGAAAATTAAAGAATAGAGCGCTAACAACGGATTATTTACTGCTCCCATCATGAAAGAGGTAAACAAAGTGAACCAAGTGATTACTTATGTGATGAATCGCTGAAAAAGGAAAAGTAGAAATGTGTTCTGCTATAAATGTGCATTAATGAGTGGCTCAAATTACACCACCAAAATAGGATAGTAACGAAATGAAAATAAAGAAAAGCTAAGAAATGAATGGAAAAGAGAAGTAATTTGAAATATCACAGTGACCCGCTGAATTTTAAGAAAACTTCTAGATAATGGTGCTTTTTTTGAGACAGTGCTACGGAAGTTGCGCTTATGCACTAGTCTCCTTGATCTAGGATAGAATGGGCCTCATGAGTTGCTCTGGCCCTCTTGCTGTAGTAGCGCTTGAGGATTCGAGTTTTGAGTAAACATGGGGTTGCATGCAGAGCCTTTGACATGAATGGCAAAGATGACGAAGAGGGGCACATTCTCATAGTCGCACATTACGCCCAGTTTGACCCAGTACATTCCCACGAGAACGTGGTTTTTCCTAAGTGATGTCGACGTCACATTTCAGGGTTTGTGTGTGCGTGGAACAGTACATGGACTAGGACATTTCTGTGGTCTATTGATCTTTGAGTTTGTCCGGAGCCGAGATGGCCACCTGTATTTCATATCTTGTAGCTATCCGCTTCAAGTTGCGAGATATTTTATGCGTGTATACCACTGCTGGCGTTTTTTTTTTTTCTTGATTGGGTGCTGCCAAGCATTCATGCAACACTAGGGAACTTGGATTTCCAGAACCTGTGCCTGGACACTCGTCTTAGCTGTATGTTGGCGGGACTTTTGCGAAGCTGCTTTTAGACACCTCTGCACAATTTCTCGTTTGATGATTCTAGAATGGGCCGATTGAAAAGGTATGTCCAACATGTATGGTTTCCTTCAAAGAGAAGGTGTTGTTGGTTGGTAGTTGGAATTTCAGTCTCTTAGTTTTTGTTAAGAGCGTGGATGCTGTTGAGGTCAGGTCTTGGATGGAGAAGGAGATATCTAATGTCACATAACCCCTGGTTGATAGGAAGGTTACCAGATAGTACTGATGCCAAGTATGATCCCATCCACATTCCTCGCTATATAGCAAAGGCTCTTGGACGTGACCATTCCGGATGGAATCCCGGGAGTTGTAGAAAAGACTCGGTGTACCACTTGGGTTTTGGAGATGGGGGACCACACTGCCATTAGCCTCGACCCTGCAGCTGAGCGCTTCAAACAAGGCCTGGGAAGGAGGAGAACCTCCACATCTAGAGAAAGTCCACACCCACTTTTCTTTTTGTGTCTCAGGAAAAGCTCATTGAACTTAAGGGAGCTCAAGCTACCTAAAAGATATTGTCACGAATAACAAGGCGAGACAAGGAATAACTGGGGAAAACTGAAATGTTTAGTGGGGGCGAACTTGTGCCCAAAAAATAAAAAGGAGACAGAAAAAAGCAAAGCGTTGCGGGCGTCGAAGTTGGCGTGACAGCAGAGTCGAACGCTGAGGCAAAAACTGGCTCGACAAGGTTGCGGGTGGCCTCTCATCCAGAGTGAGTCACTATCTCGAAGATTCGGCGGAGAAGGTTCGAGCGTAGCGCGCTCGGGGCGAGAATGAACACTCACTTTCTAGAACAACAAAAGCAGGGATAAACGATAGAAGGTATGTCCGCAGCAAGAATAAAGAAGAACCTTCTACAAGTCCGTGACCCTGCATGCGGCAATATCCAGAGTTTCTTCTTTTTCGGCAACGCATGTAATCACCTCTTTCGTGACACGAGCAGTAAACAATCAGTTGTGAGTTAGTGCTGTGTCCTGTCCCATTGTTCCTTCCTGTCCTATAGGGTAGAATTTTGGAATGAAATGGTTCGTTTCAGTTTTGTTCCTGTTCAGTAATTAACGGTTTCAATACGGTTTTAGGTTCAACTCGACACTCTTGATGCAAAGACGGAAAGAAATGTGTATGGGGCAATAATTTAAAAAGTAGATGTTTGTTTTTATCTTTTGTAGGGGATGTGGTGACGTCCAAACGCCGAGCTCCGATTGGCTCTGATGGAAGGATAGTGGGTAGACATGAAAGTAAGCTGCCTCGAGGTCTACCCACTATCCTTCGATCGGAGGTTGGCATTCCCACAACCCCCGCAAAAGAAGTAGACAAACTTGCGCTCCACGTAGCTCTTATACTTGCGTTGCGTGGGTACTGCCATCTAGGATCACGTGACACGGCTGCCATAAGGTGGCTTGCACTCGCCGCTCTTCCCTCCGCAGCTTGGCAAAAGCGTTGTATTCATGTTTTTTGTTGCGTTTTATCACGTTTCTCGTCTTATTTTGAAAAGTGTCCTTCGATGCTTTTATATGCTACCTAATAGCGTGCCATCATTATGGGCGCAACATTAATTTTGTAACACCTTTTTACTATTTTCATTGTCGGCGTACCTAGACATCCTAATAATTAAAAAAATTACAATCACGCGACACCGCTTTCCTTAATAAAACTTCATGAAAGGTCGGGTCATACCTCTTTCTGACCTATGCAGAGTTGTCAATTTTCCGGGCTTATTTGACAAATCATTACTGTCGGAACTAAAAATTTGATAATCTGACATGATCTTTCGACTCGCTTGTTCTAGTATCGATAAAAAAATCGAGTGCAGACGTCCTCAAATCGCGATAGTTGAAACGTTTCCGAGGAGGCATGCCACGCAGTAAAGACGCTAGCGTAAAATACCGGACAAGCACCCACTCAAAATTTAGAAATAATTGCGAAAAAATGGGGATAGGCGCTTGTCCGGTCGTCAATTTTACATATCAATGTACTGCACGTATTTCCTGAGACCTTACATATTTGGGAATGGGCGCTTAGTGTGGAATGGGCAGATGCATGGTATTCTTCGATATGTTCGCAGCGTGAAGCGTTCTTTCTCAGCTGCCATTTTGGTTACGATAAATCGCCATTCCTTGTTTATTCATCACAGTCCTGCAGCGCCATCAGGCATTATCGCAGGGGGCGAATAAACGCCGAAATATGCAAAGTGGAACGTCGCCGGCAATCTTCAGTTGCTAGGTGTTACGTCATGGCGTCGCTTTCTATGACCGGGCAGTCCAGTGCAGCCTCCATTGCTATCCGTCCTATCACGTCTCGAAATATGCCTTCGCTGCCATCTGTCGGCGCTTGCAGAAGATGTCTCCTAGCCAGATTCAGTGGGGCTGGGGCGCCATCCCGTGGCGACGTCACGACGTTGCAAACTTTGGATACTCGAAACCAGAGTGCTCCAAATCGTCCAAGGGCAGCGCATGTACCAAAGCTCTAATGCATTGAAAAAGAACTACCGTAAACTACTTATTTTTATCGGGCTCAATATTTCGCAATTTAGGTCAAAGCTGAAGTTTTGGAATAATTAGCGGGTACTCATTTTCGCGATGTGGTGGGATCTCAATATAGATTCCAATGTGTTTACAGTTTACCACAATTGTTCGTGGGACCTATTTTTTGCGAATTATAGGCGATTCGGGAAATTGGCGAAAATGAAGTCGTTTTCAGTGTATTGAGACAGAAATGAGAGTTCCTGTTCTAACTACCAGAAGCCATAACTTGTCCAGAAACGCATTGGAGGCTTTGCCACTGGGCTTAGAAATTGTCGATCACGGTTGATCGATTTTGACGGGCGCGAAAGAGTTTATCAGGTTGTCGACCTTTTTTCACTACGCTTCTACTTTATTTTTTGGAAACTAGCATCAGCGGGTTCAGTCGGAGATGATGGAAATCTTCCTCGTGCATCAATTTTGTTGTTTTCCTACTGAACCCGACTGAAATTAATGACAAACATGACCGGATGCGTCAAAAAGTGCTTGTGACAAATGCGCAATTATGACTGAAAACCAGTTGTCAAGGTAGCTCAGTACTGCTGTTTTGTTGGGTGTTGACAGTGAAGTGAAAATGACAGAAAAGTGGGCTGAAACCCAAGCGAATGGCAGCGAGTGCCGGTCTCCTGAGAAGTCTTGGGACCACTCTTCTCAGTAGGGACCACCACTCCCAGCCTTGGCTGTGGGCAGGCACTGGAACGAGACGTCCAAGGCACTGGAGGCGGGACAACTGAAGCCTGGACAAAGCCAACCAACTGGACGCCTTGTTTCCAGGCTGCTGCTGCATAGACGAACTGGACAAGATGTCCGCCGCCCAGGGGGCACTGCTGGAGGCCATGGAGCAGCAGTGCGTGAGCATCGCCAAGGCGGAGCTCTCTGTCTCGCTGCCCGCGAGGGCGGGCGTCCTGGCCGCGGCCAATCCTGCGGGGGGACACTACCAGCGGGGCAAGACGGTCGCCGAGAATCTGCGCATGGGGAGCGCCCTCCTGTCCCGCTTTGACCTCGTCTTCATCCTGCTCGACCGGCCCGACGCGGTGAGGGGTCCCTCGGGCTGTTCCTTGCATGTCTCGGAGACGTTTTCGGAGCACTTTCAGGATCTGGACATGTCCCCCAGTTGTCATAGGGCTGTTTTCATTTGAATTCAGGAACACTCTTGCAATCAAATTCATACTAAACATATAAAATAGCGCAACGGGACATGCGCTAAAAATCATGTTGAACTAAGATGAACCAACTAGCCCAACAATGTACCCTACTAGACAAAACTCTTACTTTTGAAGGAAAAAAAAAATTTCGGGAGCATTCTTGAAATGAAAGAGTGCGCAAGCGGAAAGCTTGGCAGATTTTTTGTTTTTAAGTTATTGATCTTCTAAGCGATTGAGGTGAAAACAAACGCTTTTCCCACCTGTTGGCATTTGCACGTCTGCGCACTGCTATCTTCTTTGCGCTGCCATTGCTGTATTTTTTATTTTTTGCGCACTTGTGATTTGCTTGATGATGAAGCGTTCTTCATGTTTCCCTCCGGAATGGACGCCTGCTGGTCTGCCTGGCTAACTTAATCAGGTATCTAAAGACGGTTAGTCAGGTACCTTGGGATATATTACTTCATCTTTTGGTGCCAAAACTCGGCAGTAAGAAGTTCCAGAAAAGATGGAAACCAGCATTGCGACCTTTATTGACCGACGGGCAGTCGTGCAATCTGCGACAACCAAGCTCATCAACGAGGTCGCAGCCATGGCGGATCCCACATCGGTCGGTCAGCTGAAAACCAGATTAGATCTCCTTGTGCTGAAAGAAGACTCCCTCAAGGAAACAAACCGCGAGATTGAGCAGGGCGTCGGAGACGAGGCCTTAAAGTAGGAAGTTGCATGCGCCGAAAGTTACAAGGAGAAGGTTAGCGTAGTGAAGACTACACTTAAAGGCATGCTCCGTGACCAGGCCCAACTAAATGACATAGCGTTACCGAGTCCGGCAACATCGAACCCTGGCTTCATAGAGCAGGCAGCGTCGAGGGATAGCGTCGTACAGACAAGCCCATTGGTAAAGATTTCAAAGTTTGGGGGTGAACTACGATCGTGGCTAGGGTTCTGGATCCAGTTCGACTCCACCATCAACGCGAGCTTGACGCTGTCGAAGGTCAATAAGTTCAAGTACCTGACTAGCTACCTCGCAGGAAAGGCAGCCGTGGCTGTGGCGGGGCTTGATCTCAGATCGGTAAACTATAACCAGGCCATCGAAATTCAGCGGGAGAGATTTGGCCGCCAGGATATCATTATCGACGGCCACTTGTCGAGGCTGCTGAACATCACACTATTGCGAAAATCTTGAAGCGTCGACAAACTTTGGTCACTTTTTGACGAAGTGCAGATGGGGGTGAGAAGTCTTAATGCTCTCGGGGTCCGTGCCAGCATCTACGGAGTATTGCTCCTCACCGTACCAAGAAAAGCCGTGCCCACTGACCTCTGCCTCGAGTATCACCGGAGGCAAGACAAGGACAGACGAGAGGGAGATCAGTTGGAGACCTTGCTACGCTTCCTAAAAAGAGAGATTGAATATCGCAAAAAGATGCAACCAGTAGAAACACAAAAAGATCACCTTTGCATCACAGAATGAGCAGCTACCAGGCAGGTCCCATCCCTTCAGCAACTGCCTTGAATGCCATGACTGGCAAAGACGACAAAAGGTGAATTTTTTGCTCCTCTAACGATCGTGACTCAGAGGGGTGCGCTGCAGGGATATCGGTCTCAGACAGGAGAGACATTCTGAAATGTGACAACTGATGCTTTCGTTGCCCAGAGAAAGGCAAATCCCGAGACTGCTGAACATCGAAATGGCTTAAATGTATGCGGTGCTCCGGGAAACACCTCACAAGTATTTGTGACCACTCTCAAGCTTTGCTTGTTGCACGAATAAAAAAAAAAAAAAAAAAAGTATTTGTGATCTTAATCTGACGGGCATCTGCAGCGCCACGAAAGAGAGACGCAGCATTAACATTAGGTAAAGCGATCCACAAACATTCGGTGTTGCAGTCTTCTTTTGGAGCGGGAGACCATCACATTGAAAGGGAAAGGGTGCTCTTTCAGGTTGCACAGGCATGGGCTGAGGGCCAGCAGGGCGCACCCTTGTTAGACTCTTCCTTGATGGCGGCAGCCAGTGCACGTTTGTCCAGCGCAGCGTCTCCATGAAGTTGCGCTTAAAGGCCTTGGGAGAGAAAGAGCTCAAGATGTTCACCTTCGGCGACAGTGCGGTCGCCAAACACACGAAATGTCGTCGGGTAGAGCTATGGCTGAGGAACAATATACAAGAAGTTTGTGTAGAGGCTCTAGAAGTTTCTTTGAGTGGATATCACGACTGCTCCCTTGGAATCTGCTGTAGACTGGATGAAGAGGCAGGGCATGCAGATGCAGACGCCACGCAAGGGGCTCAAGATGAGGATGGGATGAGCCCCCCGATTGGAGCTGATTAGTTCTGGGCAATCGTCACTGGATCATTCAAGCGGCTGAGCCCCAGGCTAATGGACAGTGAACACGGCCCGATGGACCCTGCAAGGCCAGGTAGAAACAACCGGATTGTCGGCAATCTGTTTCTCGGCTACAAGCGTGATGAGGGTGACCGTGACCGAGGAGACGGAGAAACATCGGTGTACCCGAAGTCCTTCTGGGAATTCAAACACCTTGGCATCAAAGAACTCGAGACAATGTCACAAAGAAAAGGTAGAGCCCTTCCACTTCACATGAGCATGTAGGACCAGTTAAGCTGTTATCTTTACGACGTCTGGGACAACCTCAAGGATGACTTCTTGGATGACCTGAAGGACGACGCTTAGAGGACGACCCCAAGGACGACCTCGAGGACGACCCCAAGGATCAATTCTGGGACGACGTCTAGGATGACCTCAAGGACCACCTCAAAGACGACTCCTAGGACGATGCGTAGAGAAATTCAGCCTTTCCACTCTGGTGAAAACCAGGGTGGAAAGGCTAGAAAGGTTGCCGCCGTCGCTCATAGATGGCGGTAGGTGTCTGGAGTTTTGTGTCGACACGCCGCTTGTCTGTGGACACGATACTGGGGAAACTAGCCCTTAACAGCTCCGCCGTAAAACTATCAAGTTCGAAGACGGTCGCTACAAGGTGTCGCTTCCATGGAAGCCAACTGCCAAGTAGTTAAGAGACAACTGGGAATGGGCAATGAGGCGTCTCAAATCGCAGGCTTAAACTTCTCCAAAAACTTAACCAGCTGATCAAAGATGATGGTACCTGTATCCAAGACTACGTTGCAAGAGGCTACGCAGAGAGGGTAGAAAAAATGACCCGCACAAGGGACTGGTTGGATATGCCACATCAAGCTGTTGTTCGTCACAAGAGTGGGACGACTAAACTGAGGGTGGTTTTTGATGCATCGTCGAGTGCAGGAGGTGGGGTTTCACTGAACAATGTTCTAGAAAAGGGACCAAATTCGAATCGAGAGCTGATAGACCCACTGATCAGGTTCCGCACCCACAACATCGCCGTAATCGCAGACATTGAGAAGGCTTTCTTGCGAGTTCAGATGACGCACATGCCTTTTGGCGTAAGGTCAAGCCCATTTCTGCAACATTACAGCACCATTTCGAAAGCGTGCCGGAGCAGTACACGGCGACGGCAAATCTTCTGCGGAATGACCTATACGTAAACGACCTCCTGACCAGGGCAGACAACCAGCAAGAGTGCTTTGTGAGGAGGCAACAGAAATAATGAACCATGCTGGAATGCCACTTCGCAAGTGGATGTCTTACGACCTCCAAGTAATCGAGGTGTTGAAAGACAGCAAGACTCAACATACCTACACCGACTTTAGAAACTTGGGATCAACAAATGTTCTAGGAGTGGGTTGGAACCCTCAAACAGACACGTTTGAGTACAAGGTCAGCTCTCTTGTCCATCTTCTCGAGGACGGAGAATAAGAGATTCATGCTGCAGGTGTCATCGGGAATTTTTGATCCATTAGGTTTTTTGCTCCGAGTTACTACGGCTTCAAGCACCTTTCTGAACTGCATTTATTAGTCGTTTCGGCATGTTTGTTTGATTGCGCAGAACATGGCTTGACGAAAATTGCTGCCTGGGTCTTTTTTCTTTTTTTGTTTTACGAGGCTATATTAAAAAGTTTCGAGAAACGGCCACTAGAGGGTCACTTTTTTCTGATATCTTTGCCGTGTTGGCAACTTGTCCGTATGAATTCCCTTCAGATGTCATACCATATTTACTCGCATAATCAATGCACTTGCATAATAAACGCACCCCCCACAATGGGCATCAATATTTTGACTTTTTTTTTCCCCTTCTGTAATCAACGCACCTCCAATTTTCGGTTCTGCGAGTCTCGAATTGCGTCCAATTTAGCAAGCCACTAAGCCAGTTTTCTTTTGCCGCCAAGCGGTCAGGCCAAGTCAAGCCAAGTCAAGCCAAGCTAGGCTGCTCTTGTGGCTCTCGTAATGGTCTAAAGTACGTAGTTGCTGTAGTTACGGAAGTGATCAACCGTGAAACCGAGTGTCGCGCACCAGGGCCGTACCCAGAAAAATATTTCGGGGGGGTTTTCGGGGACAACGGCGGCCATTTTGAAAGTGTCTGTTGTCTTATTTTCGCCTATGAATCATGTGCATCGGTGGCATATAATGGAGAGTTACAGCAAACCGGAGAACCGGTCCCGGTTTGGTACCCGGTAGCCGACCGGCGCCACTGCGCGTGCGCAGAGGTGGAGATTAAAATCGGCTGGCTGCCTGTGCACCGACCAGGGCCGTACCCAGAAAAAAATTTCGGGGGGGGTCAGAACCCCCTATCCCCCCCCCTGGTTACGGCCCTGTCGCGCACACTCGACAAAGCTTGGGTCGAGGAATTGCTGAGCCCCGGACATTCTTTGTCTATCGGATGCGTTGATATCAACAAACAAGCCGTCGTCTGTGGTCCGCTTTCAGACAGTGAAATCGTGAAAGTGGTTAGGCCTAATTTCACATACTCCGGGTAAATTCGTTTATTTAATTCGCAACAGAACGGCATAG